GGGAAAGTGAGGAATTTGGGGAGAAGTCAGAGCTGTAGATCTTGCTCAGGCCACCTTGACCTCTTCTTTGACCTCTTTGACTTCTGGCTTCTCTTCCTTAATTTTCAACTCTTCTTGACTTCTTTGTAATCCTTGCTGATGAGCACCCATCTACATAACTCCCCAACTTTTATTCTTTTTCTTTATTATTATCAGTTCTGATATATACTGTCTTAAGGATTACAAAACAAATCTTTCACAATAGTAAGTCTTATACATAAATAAGGTAACTATTCTGAAGTATGACAGGATGAAATACCACATGGTATCAGAGGATCTTTGAAACTCTATTCCCTTCCTTCATAGTGGCTTGTCTCCCTCTTTTTCTCTCTCTGTTTCTCTTCTTTGTTCTTCGGTTTCCCTAGATAGATTCTTTTTTTTTTCTTTTTTTTAAATTTTTTATTAATTATACTTTATTCATTTTGTATCCACCTATAAGTCCCTTCCTCCTCCCTCCCGAACCCACCCTCTTTCCTCTTTCTGCATGCATGCCACTCCCCAAGTCCAAATGCCCCTCAACTGAAGAATGGATGCAGAAACTGTGGTACATCTATACAATGGAGTATTACTCAGCAATGAAAAATAAGGAAATCATGAAATTTGCAGGTAAATGGTGGGACTTGGAAAGGATCATCCTGAGTGAGTTGTCCCAGAAGCAAAAAGACACACATGGTATATACTCACTCATATAAACATACAACATAGAATAAACCCATTAAAATCTGTACATCTAAACAAACTAAGCAAAAGAGAGGACCCTAACTAAAATGTTCAATCCCCTGCATAGATTTTTATGGTAATATATTTTCAGGATGTCAGGACAAAGTCAACTTGAATGTATTATTTGAAAGAATTGTCCCAATTCAACATATGTTAGAAATATAATTTAGTAATTGGAGGACAGTTAAAATTTTACAAAAAATTAAAATCATCTTTAATTTATATCAAGCTAGGATCTATGAACATGTATGCCTGTCTTATGAGAAAAATTTGATTAAACTCTACTAAGATGCTTCCAAGTCCAATTATATTTCTTTGCCTTACATTTGGCTTATTAAAATTATCAGTTTTTGAGGTCAATTGACAGTATAAACTGTTTGCTATAATAGACACTAATAGCTTTTATACAAGAGGACTTTAAAGTCATCAAAATTTTAGGTACATAAATAAAACTTAAAATTGTCTCCAAGAATTACTTGTAATTAATTAATTCCAAAGCAAGCTGAAAATAATTAAGCAATCATTACAAATGGCAAGAAATTATTAGTTAATTTGATTAAAAGAATAAAATAAATGTTTCTATAATTACCATTTTATAAGAACAATAATTTGTGTTCTTGATTAGGGTGAATAGCTTGTGGAATCAAAAAACTGTAAAAAGTCAGACTCTGCATCATGTATCACTTTGCACATAAAAGAATGAAGAGATGTCACACTGGTGCTCTTGGATTGAAACACTGACTAGAAATGACAGAATAAACATCAAAGAATAGAAACTGACTAGAATAAAATTAAATGTTTCTGCTTCCAATGACCTGATTACTTGCCTCCAAATTTCAAACACACTTAGTTGAATTTCTCAAATTTTACATTAATTGAGAAGATTTTTATACAAAAAACAGTATTTTTATGATCAGAGGCAATGGCAAGTTCTAAGTAAAAATATCTGGATGAAGTCAGAGGACTTAGACAAAGGGTACAAAGCAATGTGATTTTATTGCGGTGCTGGATTTTGGACATAAGACCTTGCCCGTGTGAGTCAAGTGTTTTATCACTGAACTATGACCCTAACACTTGAAAGAGACAATCTAATATGCAATAGGTTTAATATAAAACAACGTGAATATAGGTGATCTCTTTATTAATAATGATCGTAGAGCCTGAAATACCAGAATGGTCAAATGGTTCACATGAAGTGATAACTAACTGTAGTCTGTTATTTAATATGATCTCTAGAAAACACAGAACTTGTCATTTATTAGAGATCTGGAGCTTGAGATTTGGTGAATTTAGTGCATATAATAACAGAGAGTCTGAAAAGACGTGAGTTTTACACAAAGCTTCACTATATTATAGAATGTGTGTCAGGAAATAAATATTTGACATTGATATTTCAAGGCCGTGCACAATAGTGCCAGCCCCCACCTGCCAGTCGGTGCCCACCTGTCCTTGTTTTGTGAACAAGTGCTAATTATAGTAAATGACGTAGTAGAATTTTAATCTAGCTACATGGCTGCTCTGTCAAAGGATCATTTCCAAAGACCTAGTTCTGTGTGATCCTGCTGGAATACAAACATAATCTTAATCTTTCTGGCAGGACAACACACCCTTTTGGCTGGAATATAAACACAATGCACTTCTAATCTTTCTAACTGAACTTTAGTACACACATTAATCCAAAACAATGAAGTTTAATTGAGGAACGAACAAAGTGACAAATCAGAGAAAGAACTGACCGAGTGAGTCTTACAAGAATTCTCAGACAATTAGGAATTGTGCTTCCTCAAGATCCAGCTATACCACTCCTAGGCATATATCCAAAAGAGGCTCAAGTAAACAACATGGACATGTGCTCAACCATGTTGGTAGCAGCTTTATTTGTAATAGCCAGAACCTGGAAACAACCCAGATGTCCATCAATTGAGGAATAGACACAGAAATTGTGGTACTTTTACACAATGGGATACTACTCAGCAATTAAAAACAAGGAAATCATGAAATTTGCAGGCAAATGGTGGGATCTAGAAAAGATCATCCTGAGTGAGGTATCCCAGAAGCAGAAAGACACACATGGAATATACTCATTTATAAGTGGATATTAGACATATAATATAGGATAAACATACTAAAATCTATACACTTGAAGAAGCTAAGCAAGAAGGAGGACCCAGGGTAAGATGATCAACAATCACTCAGAAAGACAAAGGGGACAGACAACAGAAGAGGGAGAAAACAGGTCAAAGGACAGGAACCTACCACTGAGGACCTCTGAAATACTCTACTCAGCAGGGTATCAAAGCAGATGCTGAGGCTCATACCAAACTTTTGGCAGAGTGCAGGGAATCTTATGAAAGAAGGGGGACATAGAAAGACCTGGAGGGGACAGGAGCTCCACAAGGACAGCAACTGAACCAAGAAATCTGATATTAAAGTTGTTAAATTGGGACATGGAATTTAAAGGGTCATGGTCACTTGTTTGTCTATTAACAGTTGTCTATTCTGAAGAAGCACCCATGCTATTTAGTTGCCCAAGATGGCCTATTTGAAGGATCCACTCACCTTTCCTTTCAGCGTCCCCACCTGATTGCTTAACAGTGACTACAATTAGGAAAGTAAAGCATTTTTTAGTAAAGGAAGCATGTTGGAGGTTGGTCTCATGCATGTTACTAACCCTTAAGATCTGGTTACACTTATATTTTTTCTGTAAACCTACCTAAGGCATATCTGATTGGTTGATTAAATAGACTATACCTGGGCAGGGCAGAATGGGGTAGGTGTAGCTAAGGTTCCCAGGCTTTGGAGGGAAACAGAGCAAAGGAAAGAGAGGAAGAAGGAGGAGGCCACCATGGATGAGTGTGGAGAAAAACCATATGGGATTGGAGAAAGAACTCCAATGATGGTGTAGAAAGGCCCAGATAAAGAATAAAAGCATGTAACATGTGATTATGGATGAAAGGCAGTCCAACTGAGGAGGATTCAACTGGATGGCATTGGGAGATGGCTGGGAGATGAATGGTAAGGATATTGAGAGAGTGTAAGTGAAATATCTGCCTGGCCCAAGGTAAAAAAGACAATTATAAATCTAACAGGTGTCTGTGTCTTATTATTTGTGATATCAGGTTAGATAATACTGCCATAATAACCATAGGACTAATAATAAACCTTACATAGCCCAACACCCGTTTTTTTTTTTTTTCTATTTATTTACTACAACAGAAGCATGATGTTAGCTACAGCCAGCTTTTGACCACCAAGTTATATGCTCAGCTACCATTGGGAGTAATGAGAAACAGAACAACAGGGGAATCAAGCAGAATGGAGGGATAGCAAATAACAGCAGGGGATGTAAAATAGAAAAAAAGAAAAAGGAAAGCTCTAAGAAAATGGATAAAATATTTTTTTTAGAACTAGTCTTAGTAGGAAAACAATAAAATAAAATAAATGACTGTGTAAAAATAAATTACACAGTCATTAAAAACATGCATCAAAACTATGCAATGTTGGTGATGAAGGAATTATATTAGCATATAAATATGCCACCAGATTGCTCAACTTGCATAAATTAGACAAACCTATAAATATCACCAATTAAGAAATCAAAGAAAAGTAAACAAAAAACCCAAGTGTATTTTTAAAGAACCCATTCTAACAAGGTAAGGATTAAGATAATATTGCTTGGGAATTTTATTGAAGTTTACAGAAGAAATAATATTAATTGTTGACAAAAGCTTTCAACAAGTAGAGATATAAAAATCTTTACATTCATTTTATAAGGGAAAGTATAACTACTACAGTGAGACCAGGTTGATACACTCAAACCCCAGAAAATATATTCTGTATCACTATGAATATGAGTATAAATCCTTCAAGTAATATTAACAAGTCAGATCAATAACATGAAGATTATAGTCCAATACCCAAAAGAAATGTATTTGTTGATTGGTTTATAATTGAGAAATTGGAAATGTAATATTTACTATTAATAGAAGAAAGAAAACAATGTTTATTTTAATAAGCACTTCACAAAATACCACAGTTATAATAAAAAAAAACTCTTAAGACACATAAGTTGATTTGGGAAATCTTTAATCTGATAAGCACTGATTTCTCAGCTACAAAACCTAAAGTAGTGTCCATAAAGTGCAAAGTAATCAACAGAACAGCATACCTTATATGCTGATTTGAAAAGACACAATTAACTAGGAGAATATCAGTTAAAAACACTTAATATCCATTAAAAACTTGTCTCTAGAAAGAATGTGGGTGCATCTGGTGTCCCATGTGTGCCAGTAGGTGCCAGAAAGAAGGGAAGCTATGTCTAGACTCAGAGTGCTGACCTATGACCATCTGAATGATTACTTGCCTAACATTCCCTGAAAAGGGGGGGGGGGCTGAAATTACAGTCTGGCACCAGGGTGCCCACACAGAGAGGTAGCCTGAGACAACCACCAGCTCAGCACCAGGCGGGCCCAGACAGGCTCCCAGGATGGGGACCAAGCATGAGATGATCAGCGGTCTTGCACAGCACAGGCCCAGCTGGCTACCAGGATTGGGAACAAGCAGACTAGACCCCTCCTGAGACTTAGAGTCCAGGGCAGAAGTGAGTCTGAGACTGACTACTCTTGCATAGGCCCACTTGGGCAGGCTGAGTAAGACATAAACCCACGATGACCACTAGTCTGGTGCCATGGGGTCTGACAGGGAGGTAGAATGAGATGATCCCCAGTCAGATGCTATGCAGGTCTCGGGTATCAGACTGTGCCCAGGATGACACCTTCCTCGTGCCTTAATGCACAAGGTAGGCATAGCACTGCTGAGATGAACCCAGACACTATGAGACTCTGGGTCCCCCTAAGAAAAGAAGGTAAGGCAGAAATGAAAGAGCAACAGAATGATATGGGCACAATGAAGAGAGGCAGAGTAGTAAAGAACAACTTGGTGTCTGATGATGCCACCTGAGACCATGGTGGGTCCTGGCCTGAGCTGTCACTGTGGGCCAATTCTGAATCTGTGGTCCTGCAGCATCAGGAGTCTGTTACCATCAAAGTTCAGGCAGATGCCTCTGGGCTGGGCTGCCTTCCAGGACATATTGACATTTGAGGGCTGTGCTGTCCACCGGGCCACTGTGGGAAAGCTGCCCCTGAGGGATGAGAGCTGTAGAGCTGACCCCAACCATATCCAGCTGTAGTACTTGGGAGAGCAGGCCACACATTGCAAGAGTGACCAGTGAGGTGGTCTAGAAGGATATCAACATGAGTGCTCTAGTCCTACCACTCATCTCACTGTGAATGAGGAAGAGACACCCTCCTTCTTCCTCACACTTTACCACCCAGAGCAGATGGGAGTACTGGCCCTGGGGTCATGAGAGCAGGAGACGTGTCCCTGCTCCTCATCAGTTTCAGGACTCAGGAGAGAGGATCCTGCACCTCACCTAGGCAAGACAGTAGATCTGACTCTGATGGTGAGGGCATGGGTGAGCCAGCCCTGAGCACATGAGCGTAGGAGATCTGGCCCTGCTATTTTTCTGCAATGTGGTGACATGGGCTAAGGGTAGATGACTCCCTTACCCATTGCTACCTACATCAGAAAGGAGAGCTAGCTCTGAGCTCATTAGGAAAGGAGACCTGTCACTGCCCCTCAACTGCTGCAATACTCAGGAGAGCAGGCCGTACACATTGCCTAGCAAAATAATAGAGCTGGCCCTAGATTTAGGGATTGTGAGTGCGATGGCACAAAGACATGTGAGACAACTGTCCCTGTCTCTTGTCTGCTATGGGGTAGCATCGATGAGGGAGAGATTTCCTTTCTTTCTTTTTGCACTCACCACTGGTGGCAGGCAGGAGAGCTGGCCCTGACAGGGTCATGAAAGCAGGAAAGCTGTCCCTGCTTTTTGTCTACTGGATAGTGGAGAGGAGAGGGAGACATGCCCTTCTTTCCTCCCTTATCCTTTGCTATCTATGGCAGGCAGGAAAGCAGGCCCCAGGTTCATGAGAGTGGGCGAACTGGCCATGTCCTTTACCAGTTACAATACTTGGGTGAGGGGGCTCTGTACCTCCCCTGGGAAGAAGGGTAGAGTTGGCCATGGTGGTGGGTATTGCTGATGATCTGAACCTGAGGGCAGAAAAGCCAGAAAAGAGCAGAAAAGCCAGTGGGCTAACCAACTCAGATAACTCTCAGGACCAGATCCAGGGCTTTGAATTGGCAAACCCCAACATCTATCCCATAGATAAACTGTAAATGTGCATGAAGGAGCAAGTCCTACAGATCCAAATCTATAGAATCTTCATGACACAGGATATCCAAGAGGAGTCCAGTGAGGTTTCAAAATTGATAGACTAACAGAAACCAGAGGCTTCATACTAGATGAACTAGTCATTGTAATGAACATTTGCAAGCAGAGATGTGTGGACAAAAAATGTACACTGTGGGACACACTGTGCCACACTACAGTTTCTATAACAATATTTTTTTTCTCTGTTGTGGACAGTTTGCAGTGGAGGATGGGTATGAGGGGAGGGGAAGATGAGTAGGATTTTGGTACATGATGTGAAATCCATAAAGATCCAAGAAAAAGTGAAAAAAGAACATTTGCAAAATAAGTACTGAAAATTTTATTTTCAGGATCTTAAAACTTAGCACATGGGAATATGAATTAAAAACCTAGTAACCAATGCTAAATTTGAGATATAAATGATTAACACACAAGAACATATTTAGAATTGTTGGCCACTGAAAAGCACCAAGTCATACTCATATTCTCAGTGATAATATAACCATCATGCTTGGTTCCTTGAGCTATATTTCTAGAATAACCTAGCTTACTATTCATTGTGAAGAAGGTCTGTCTTTATATATTCTTTGTAAACTTTGTTCTTGTTGAATCATTAATTTTCCCTTCAATATGCATTGAGACTAAACTTTATAATTATATTATTTCATAACAAAGCTTCTAAATATTTGTGAAAATGTCCTTCTTCTAAGAATTCTGGTTAAGAATAATAGTTATGCTTACTGCTACCCAATTTTATTTTGTTGTTTCGTTTTGTCTTTTTTTTTTTTGAGATAATGATGTGGTTTCATCATTTTCCTTTTTTCTTTCCTCACTCCAAATCATCCCATATACAGACCTGCTTACTCTCTTTTAAATTCATGGTTTTTAAAACATAATTATACCTTCCAACAGTATGCTCAGTCAATGTAGTATTACATGTATGTATATATCTTTAAGGCTGACCTTATTCATCTTGGTTAATGAATTAGTGTGTTCTTACCTGATGAAGACTGTATTTCCTTCTGTCATGCTTATTTAGTTGGCTGTATGTTACTTCTGGAGGACTGAGTCCTGCCAGACTTTCTTTTCCCCTTCCATATTAGTGAATCTATTGTTTTGCTGTTGTTGATATTTGGATTCAAGTTTTTAAAAGGCTCATATGTATGACAGTCCTCCTGTTTCAGTTGACTGAGTGCTGAAATTCCAGACATGAAGCACTATACATGGCATTCTAATTATACTTCTTACTTAAGTGCTATTATAGTCTCCCTAGAGAAGAATCCCTGTTTGTAAATCAGTGTTATAAAACCTACCCATAGCATCTTAAGTACACAAAAGGAGTATGTTGTCTGCAAAGGCAGATGATAGATTGAGTATGCCATTGTTGTGTTTCATCTACTTTGCTCTTTGAGGCTTTTCATTTAAAAGGTTGAACATGAAATTCTTGTCATATTTCATTTCATATTAATAGAAGAAAAATTGAATTTTTGGTTTATTATTTCTTGTATTTAAAATTCCTCATTATTCCAGTTTCTTTTTAAAAATACAATGTATGTCATGTGCCTTCTAGGGACTTCATACTCTCTTTGTATAGAAAATACAGTTTTGATAGATTCAGGTAATAGCTGGCTTGTATATTATTAGATCTGTTCAGTGTAAGGCTTTATAAACTTGAAATTTGCACTTAAGAGTACTATATAAGTGTTACTTTTAATCTCCCATGATCTGGAACATAAAGATTGACACTGCAAACTACCAGGGTTTGAAATGAATCATGTGATTCATTTTTGAATTTTTTTCCTTCTGGAATAATCACAGCTGGGAATCAAATGCAGAAATATAACAGCAGCATGCTGGGCTTTTGCTCCATTTTAGGGAGATACCTAGCTTTACCAAGCCTTGGAGAACAGCAAATATACTCCTTGGCCTTCAAAACTGACTAAATTTGCAAGGTATAAAATGATAATGGTTACCCAGACAAAGCCACCATTGTTGTTGCTGTTTGTTTATTTGTTTGTTTTGTTTAGTGTTTAACTTTATTTTTCTGGAGGATTTCTGTCTTGTTTGTTCAACTGTTGGTTCAGTGATAAGGTCAGACCAAGTGTTAGTAGAAACATTCTGGAAACTTGTTTTTCTGATCATTGTACAGCTATTTTCCTGGTGTCACAAGCGTGTAAAAACAGGGCTGTTAATAGAAATAACTCAGGAAATAGTAACGAAAATTGAGTAGTTTAATGGCACAAAACTAAAAACTTCTGGACAGAAAGAAACAGAATGAAAACACTGGAAAGAACTACAGAAAAATCTTTGACAGCTACACTTATGAAAGATCTATATATCTAGAAATTAAAAGTCTAAACAGCATAACAAAAATAAGTCCCATACTAAGACCTGTCATTTACTCAGACATCAACTTTTTGGCCAGGGATATATATATTTATATCCATGCTTCATCCCTATTGTAGCCTCCCCTCTCCTCTCTTACCAGTCTCACTTTCTGTTCCTCTTCTCCCTGTTCCACTCTCCCATTCCTCAGATAAGGGATTTCCCCCAGTTACCAACCAACACTAGCATATCAAGTCGTATCAGGACTAATGACATCTTTCCCCGTGGCCTGGCTAGGCAGCCCTGCCAGAGGAAAATGATCAAAAAGCAGGCAACAGAGCCCATGAAATAGATTGCCCTCTCTCACCTTTATAGGAGACCGACATAAAGATCACCTTGAACATAGACTATGTATTTGTAGGGGTCCTAGGTCGAATCTATACACAGCCCTTTTAGGTGTATTAAACTCAGCATGCCCCACCCCCCAGACCCAGGATAGTTGATTTTGTTGTTCTTCTTGTGAAGCTCCTGTCACCTCCTGGTCTTTTTATTCTTCCTCCCACTCTTCCACAGAACTTCCTGCACTCTGTCCAGTGTTTAGCTGTGAGTCTTAGCATCTGTTTCAATCTGCTGCTGGGTGGAACAACTTAGAGGTCGGCTATGCTAGTCTCCTACATGAAAGCATAGCAAAGTATCATTAACAGCATTGGCTGTCTAATGCAGGATGTGTCTCAGGTTGGGCCAGGTGTTGGTTGGACATTCCCTTAATCTCTGC